TAAAGACTTAATTGCTAAACAAAATGCATCAGTTGGTAGACACAGCATAAAAACTTAAAAGTAGGCCAGGTGCAGTGGCTCAAGCCTGTAATCGTAGCACTCTGGGAGGCCTATGCCAGAGGACTGCTTGAGCTCAGGAGTTGGAAACTAGCCTCAGCAAGAGTGAGTCCCCATCTCTACCAAAAGGAAAGGGAAAAAAACCCAGCCGGGCATTGCAGTGTGAGCCTGTAGTCCCAGCTACCAGGGAGAGTGAGGCACAAGGATCGCTTAGAGCCCAGGAGTTGGGGGTTGCAGTGAGCTCCAATGACACCACTGCATTCTACCCAGGGCAATGGAGTGAGACTCTTGTCTCAAGAACAACAACAAAAAAAACCAAGGCAACCGAGCACCCCTCCTCACAAGCCCCCACCCCTTCATATTAAAATTAAAAAAATAAAACTGAAAATAAAGACCCAGAAATAAAAGTATATTAAAGCCTATTGTATTGACACAAACATGACAAAGAAAACTTCTGTAAGATCATAAAATGGCAATTCAATTAGATCTGATCCATATAGAATCCAAAAGCATACTATTGTTTATTGAAGAATCCAAATCACCATTAAAAGATCAATTTTATTATCCAAAAATGCAAGCAAGAAAAGAAAAAATATCTTGGCAGGTTGAGGAGACTAATGGGTATAAAAAAGATGTGGCAATAATTTACACATTTGGAATTCTCAACCAACCAGAAAAAAACACCTAAGAGACTATTCGATAAGGAAGAAGGTTGGTGAGAGGACTCAAAACAAAAATACATGTGCCAGTACTCAAGGCACTGAAACATACAAAACTGATTCAAAGAAACTTATAAATCCTATTCATGCTAACTCATCAAAATGAATTTATTTTATAAAACTTAAGTTGTGTGGTTCTCATACTAGTAAGGAAGCAGTTCATTAGAAGTCTTTAAACAGAAATAGACATAATGACAGCAAAAATTGATATCAACTAAGAAAAAAGAAAAATAAAAACTTAAGTATAGAAAATTTCAAAAAATCATTAATCTGTAGCCATATATGAAGGGGAAATAACTTTATATATAGTAAAACAATCATAGCATAGTGTAATAATTATCACTCTTTTAATGATCTTGAGCTATCAAAAAAGTATTAAATTGTATACAGAAAGTATGTTTCAGAAGATAAGAATATTTCCAATATATTTTACAAACACAACCATGTCAAAGTTTTAAAACCTCTCACATTTAAACAGGTAAATTTTACTTCTCGGCAGTCCTTGCTGAGATAATACTTTAATCTAGAAACTTAAAAAAGAAATAAAATACTTACATATTTAAGAAAAATGTCACCAATGCTTTTGCTCTCATCCCAATTAACCATAAGGTCTTCAAGGTCATCCTGAAATAGCACAAATTTAAATATTTAAGATTAAACTTAACAGCCCCTTATATATCTTTTAATATT